ATCATGATGTAAAACACCAAAACAACAGAGACGAAAAAGAAGGGAGAACTGGACAGGACGTGGCGTATTACACCATGGTTTCTACGTATAGCTCTGCCCGCTTGGTCTGGAGGTCGATGACACGAAAACTTTATCACGGGTGACGTCAGAACTGTGCAGTGTGCAACCACGTCCTTTCTTATCTGCTGGCCTGCTTTCTTCAAAGCGACGTGCTCCTGTCTGATCGTAACGGCTGTACATGCCGCTTCGGCAGCCCTGATTCCACAATCTTCGCTCATCACTCTGGACAGCTGCCGAGCTCACGTGCTCTGCGGCACGAGCAGTTCACGCAACTCGCTCGCGCGACTTGTCGAAGTGTTAAAAACAGTTGTGTGCAATTCCGCAACTCCGCCTCGGAGGTTGCGACGGGGAGGGCTGCACATTTGCCTCTACCGGACTCTGAGCCACGGGCATTTGCTTCTTGCGCATCCAACATTGTCATGTGGCAGGAACCCTAAACGTTTCTTCAACTGCTGCCATAGTTCTACGGAAATTTGTGCAGCTGAGTAAACCTACGCATAGACCAATTTTCTTGAAGCGTGGACCAACCACTGGTCTCTATTGTAGTAGGCTGGATTCAAATCGGAAGTCTGTCGGTGGCGCCACCGGCAGCCATTGCTTGGCACCAAGCAATACGTGCCTTGCACGGGACGTCATATGGCTCCATACCATTCCTGTGCCCGTACCCTCTGGAACATACATTTTGGCAGCATCGAATCTGTTCTTCTCCGCAAAGTTCTCCGAGAGGAAGAAATTCATTGGTCCTAAATGTGTGCTCCGGAAGGTACGGGCACTGGAGCATGGTCCGCAGCAATGGTGGCTGATGTGACGTCAATGCAAGTCGTGTATACACGCAAGTCTATGGGAGAAACACACAAAAGAAGGAAATTAAAGCTTCTACACAGTGTTCGAAGGCATGTATTTTACGATGTGCTGCAATAATTTTATATTGTGTTTGGAGGTTGAATTGCGATTTCTCAAGCATTCGAATGCCCATTAAAATATTGTGCTATAGCACCCATGGCTGATCTGGCAAGCTTGCTCTCGTGGTGGAGTGAACAAATAAACTTGCTGTCAATAATGCCGTCGTGGGGGAGCCCAGAAGTTGCTGAACGTCAACAAAGTTCCATATTGGCAGCGTCTTTCCGGGAGTGAGCGTTTTCATAGCAGAGCCTTCAAGCTTGTCACCTGCTAAACCCGACTCATTGAAACCGCCACCGACTCCGAGGTACCTCTAGGTAACTCTCTTCTCAGTGAGCTGCTCTACATTTTTTGCCCAGTAGAGTCACTCTCGACAACAAAACATTTCTATATAACAACCGCGAGGGTTGTCAGATTTAATGTTTGTGCACTAGCTATTTGACAGGCTTGCCGACAGCAGCCAAAAGATTCAGTGACGACAACAGTTTACGAGCGGGGGAACGTCACTTTTCTTTGTCTTTCCCATAGAGTTTTATGCATTCGCCAATGTCAAGTGATGGGCGCTGGTGGCACCACTCCTCCCTATTAAGACGAGCCTCGATCCGTGATCCAGCTTACTACAACAGAGATCAGTGGCACCAACTAGCCCAGGTACTGATGTCGCTGGCTTTCTGGCGCAATATAATAAATAACATGCTGAAAAGAGCAGGGCCATGACATGACGTGGTGAGGCTAGCCTCTGTGATGCAGCTTCTTCGGTAGGTGCATCCCCTCTGACCTCATCGCCCGTCTGTCTATGCTGAAAGAAGCAGTGGTGAATCTCCTTCGTGGGATTGCCAATGGGAGCAGCTTCATCTCCATCTTTGGCAAACTCCACCGGCGAACCAACTCCATTGTGACGTCGGTCAACACGCACGACTGAGTTGAAACTCTATCGGGATTTTTCCCTTAAAGTGTCCCCACTAAGAATCTCAAAACACCGCGGTGAGTATAACAGTAAAAATATTATTTTTAAGTTGGCAAAATGAATAGCATGAGACAAAATTAAAAAAATATATTCCTGAAATCTGGTTGCATGAATTAGTACCTAATGTACTGAAATAATGAATACTGTCACGGGTGGTGACCAAAAGAAAACAGAAAATGAACAAGAAGAAATAAACGTTTAATGTGGCGAACTTGTGCCAAAAATAAAAGGGTACAAAAGAAAACAGCAGAGCGTCGCGGGCGTCGATATCGGCGAAACCGCAGGATCGAGCGCAGAGGCGAGACTGACTCGACAAGGTCGCGAGCGGCGTCTTATCTAGAGTGAGTCACTATCTCGAAGATTCGGCGGAGAAGGTTCGAGCGTAGCGCGCTCGCGGCGAGAATGTACACGCACTTTCTAGAACAACATAAGCAGGGATAAACGACAGAAGTTAGGTCCGGAGCAAGAATAAACGAGAAAGTACTAGAAGTCCGTGACCCTGCGCGCGGCATTATCCCCCCCTTTAAAAGCGCATCGTCCCGATGCAGCACAAAACAAAAAAACAAAAAAAAAAAAAAAAAAACACAAATCCTTAACAAAACGGTAGCAAAATCGCGAGCCACAGTTCACAGTTCTCAGTTCACTTGTCGACAAGAGTAGAAAGTTCTATCGTTCGTAATACGGCTTCAGCCGGACGACGTGCACCACCTCGGGTCGCGGCTGACGTCTTGCAGATGGGCGCGTTCCGAGGTGGTGCACGTCGTCCGGCTGAAGCCGTATTACGAACGATAGAACTTTCTACTCTTGTCGACGAGTGAACTGAGAACTGTGAACTGTGGCTCGCGATTTTGCTACAGTTTTGTTAAGGATTTGTGTTTTTTTGTTTTTTTTTGTTTTTTTGTTTTGTGCTGCATCGGGACGATGCGCTTTTAAAGGGGGGGATAATGCCGCGCGCAGGGTCACGGACTTCTAGTACTTTCTCGTTTATTCTTGCTCCGGACCTAACTTCTGTCGTTTATCCCTGCGTATGTTGTTCTAGAAAGTGCGTGTACATTCTCGCCGCGAGCGCGCTACGCTCGAACCTTCTCCGCCGAATCTTCGAGATAGTGACTCACTCTAGATAAGACGCCGCTCGCGACCTTGTCGAGTCAGTCTCGCCTCTGTGCTCGATCCTGCGGTTTCGCCGATATCGACGCCCGCGACGCTCTGCTGTTTTCTTTTGTACCCTTTTATTTTTGGCACAAGTTCGCCACATTAAAAGGGTACAAAAGAAAACAGCAGAGCGTCGCGGGCGTCGATATCGGCGAAACCGCAGGATCGAGCGCAGAGGCGAGACTGACTCGACAAGGTCGCGAGCGGCGTCTTATCTAGAGTGAGTCACTATCTCGAAGATTCGGCGGAGAAGGTTCGAGCGTAGCGCGCTCGCGGCGAGAATGTACACGCACTTTCTAGAACAACATAAGCAGGGATAAACGACAGAAGTTAGGTCCGGAGCAAGAATAAACGAGAAAGTACTAGAAGTTCGTGACCCTGCGCGCGGCATTATGTACACGCACTTTCTAGAACAACATAAGCAGGGATAAACGACAGAAGTTAGGTCCGGAGCAAGAATAAACGAGAAAGTACTAGAAGTCCGTGACTCTGCGCGCGGCATTATCTCCGGGTTGGAAGTGAACGTCCCTACGACGAAGGTTGTAGCGGCCGGCGTCGACGCGTTGCTGGTCTTGAATCATGAGTCGGGCGAGCTGGCGGACTTCTTCGGCGCGTTGAGCAACCGCCTGGGCGTCGTCGCTCTCGTTGTCAGATGGCTCATGGGGCAGCATGGCGTCCAGCATGGTCGTTACCTTCCGACCATGCGTTCTTCTTGTTCATTTTCTGTTTTCTTTTGGTCACCACCCGTGACATTTTGGTGGAGGTGCGGGGTAACCGCATGCCCGTGCAGCGCTCCCCCCCCCCCCCCGAGTTCTCGCAGTGCAAGTCCGAACACAAGCCCCCAAGAACCCAACGAAGACCAGACCGAGATCCGACTATGTCGCCGGAACCTTGGCCTACCCCCGGAATCAGGACCCTTGCTACCCAGCACCTCCACCAAAATGTCACGGGTGGTGACCAAAAGAAAACAGAAAATGAACAAGAAGAAATAAACGTTTAATGTGGCGAACTTGTGCCAAAAATAAAAGGGTACAAAAGAAAACAGCAGAGCGTCGCGGGCGTCGATATCGGCGAAACCGCAGGATCGAGCGCAGAGGCGAGACTGACTCGACAAGGTCGCGAGCGGCGTCTTATCTAGAGTGAGTCACTATCTCGAAGATTCGGCGGAGAAGGTTCGAGCGTAGCGCGCTCGCGGCGAGATTGTACACGCACTTTCTAGAACAACATAAGCAGGGATAAACGACAGAAGTTAGGTCCGGAGCAAGAATAAACGAGAGAGTACTAGAAGTCCGTGACCCTGCGCGCGGCAATACAATCAACGTTAACTACAACCCTTTACGTTGCGAAGACAGTTGTGGCCGACAACGCTAAGAAGCGCAAGCTAGGTCGCTACGTCTCGGCACGACAGTTTGCGCTTCTCCTGGACTTTCTCGGTGAAAGTCGAGTTTTCTCGGGGACTGCTACAGAGAGCATTGTTACCAAGGAGGAGCGAGATACACTATGGGGCGTAATAGTTTGAGAGTTAAATGCCCTTCGGCCATAAAGAATAACTTTCTGGAACTCACGTGCATGCCAGACGTGGGCTTGCGACCTGAGAGTCTCGTGTCCCTAACAGAAGACCGGTGCAAACCTGCCAACTCTTCCGAATTTTTTGTAAAATGTATGAATTGGGACTAATTCTACGATTTTACGAATCTTGCTTCAAATTTTACGAAAAAAAGATACTTTTTTCATTTCTATTTTTTTTTACATTTTTTTCGTAAAACCGTTGCTGGCGGTACCTCACACTGCCACAAGAGGGCGACAGGTGCCGTCCACGGCAGCGTTGTGGTTTTTACTATCCGTCTATCCGGGGGCCACATATCCAAAATCAATCCAAAGCCCAAAGCCTTTGTTTGTGTGTTTGGCGGCGCATGTTGGTTTGGCGTGTTCAGACGTGGTTGGGCCTCTGTTTCGGCCAGTTTCGAGGCGAGAAGTGCAGCGTCTGTGTTTGTTACACGTGTAATCATAGCATTCCTCTGGTTGCGGTGGCTTCGCGGTGCAATGGCAAATTCCAAACCTAAAAAGAGGTACTTTCAGGTGTTCTTGAAGTCCTACACGTCGGAATTCCAGTGCTTTGTGCCGTCCAAAAAGGAGAGAAGTTTGGATACTGTAGCACGTGCACGTGTAACGTAAGCGTTTTGCACGGTGACAAGGCTGACATTAAGCCTTGCCACCTTGCGAAACAGCCCCCCCCCCCCCCCCCCGCAATTGCGTGAGTTTTACGAATTTTAATGTCCACAGGTTGGCAGGTATGCCGGTGGAGGCGCGAGTGATGGGCCGTCCCTAAACGCGGAGCAAGAAAAATTATTATTTTTTGTGGGGACGGATTTCTCTCGAGGGGGCGGGCGTGCGCCCCCGACAGTGGACGCGCCGCTGTGGGACTTCACGGCTGCAGCAGCAGCTTCGATAAGTACCGTGAATCTCTTGGATCATGAGCAGACACCATGTTGCTTTTTACCTTATTGAACACTAATGTACAAAACAATGTGGTGCGAATGTATTGCCTCGTGGTGTTTTCCACGAAAGCTTGGATATCGGGGCTGCAGCACATTTCTAGACCCACTCGGAGACAATAAATCCGTGACATTCGAAAAAAAAAATAATATTGAGTTTAGGGTGCACACTATTAGACACAGGTATAACTAGAAGGGCTGTATAGCGTTGTGGCGTGTTACATAGTTGAATTATATTATGCAGGGGTCTGTGGCTGAAGGCGACATGGCAAAGGGAGGAGAGGAGGAACGTCCTGCGCAAGTGGCATGCCCCCTACCACCGAATGGTACGAACGGTCTGGAGTTGATACGGCACGGGATCTGCTGTCCATTCGGCAGGACCAGCTGGCTGTCCAGCGAGAACTGCTGGCCACACAGCAGGGTCGGCTGGCCACCCAGCAGCAGCAGCTGGCAGTTCAGCAGGAAATGCTGCTCGTGCAGAGAGAGGCAGTCGATGCACTCCGTCGACTTGCAAGCGTAGGTGTTAAGAGAACCGTAGTGTAGTGCACTCCCAATTATTGTTGTTAGGCTGATTTTGGTCAACCCTACTTTAGCCAGTGAAGTTAGAAGGCAGTGTTCTTAGACTCAAACTGAAACCAGATATGATTTGTATGTGTATTTGAAGTGTCCAACAGCGAAGGCTTTATTTTGTTTATTTCAATGAAACCTTCCAGTGCCATAATGCTAATGAAAATTGGCAAGCCTTGAACAAAATTTTTTCAACTTATTGAAAATTACCATACTGTGCTCGACAATCCGAACTACTACGTCTAAACCGTGGTTCAATAATCCACTTCATCGTTTATCTCATAAAAAGAAAAGATGTTTCAGGAGCGCTAAAAAAGGAAATACTTGGCCTAAGCTTGCCACTTGCTCTTCCGAATAAAAAACTATGTTAAAGGGGTGTTAGCACACATTCTTTCTGATAACTCTAAGCAGACATTCTTTCTGCAAACTCTACCTAATATGTTAATAAACAACCCTCGCAAATTTTGGAGATTTGTACTCTGAAATTAATCTAGTGAATAGCTCTTGTAATAACATATTGAATAGTGAATGTGTGAATATTTAAATAGTGCGTTTTCTGATGCTTTCACTATTTCTACACCCATTACTGGAATTTCTCCTGTTATAGAGAATGATTTTCCAATGGATTCAATTGTTATAAACATTCAGGGTGTTTTCAGCGGTATAGAAACCCTCAAAATATCTCCATCATGTGGCATAAAGGAAATCATTACGAAGGCTCTCACTAACACTAAATTTTCATCCGGTCTTTACCTCAAAGATATTTGAGCAGTCCGTGGACACAGGGGTGTTGCCCTCTGACCGGAAAATTAGTAAGTAGGCCAATATCACTCACCTGCCTCTACAAGATCCTCGAGCATGTCATTTACAGGCACCTGATTAACTTCCTGGATTCCTGCAATTTCTTCACCAATGTGCAGCATGGCCTCTGGAAACGCCTTTCTATTGGGACCCAACTACTTATTCTAACTAACGATTTGTTTAAAAATCTTGACACCGGCTTTCCTACTGACGCTGTTTTGCTTAATTTCGCCAAAGTTTTTGCTAAAGTCCCGGACAATCGCATTCTTCTTAAACTTTCTTTCCTAAAACTAGATCCTCATGTTCCTAAGTGGATAGAATCATTCCTTATTCATCGCTCTCAATTCGTTTTCACTAACAGCACATCCTCCTCTTTCTCTCCCGTTTCTTCCGGTGTTCCACAGGAAATTGTGCTTGGGCCTTTGCTCTTTTTAATCTACATTAATGATCTCCCTCTTCACATCTCATCCTCTGTTCATCTTTTCACTGATGACCTGTGCTGTTTATAGACTAATAAAAAACCCATATGACCATGTTGCACTCCAGAACGGCATTTAAGGGGAGACACTGCTCTTTGAAGCAAAATTTTACTAAGAAAACACATTTTTAAAAATGTGTTTTTTGAAGTTTGGCAAGCACTTATCATCTTGTCCTGAAGGATTTTCGACATATTGAATGAGGGCTACAAATATATTAAATAGGCTGTCAGGCTTTTTGTGGGTGCCTTTTAGGCATCCGGCAAAAAATGATTTTGAAACTGGAAGGTTCAAAAGTGTCATAAGTAATTTATAAATCATCCTAGAGCTTTCATTTATACCTTATTGGATTGCACATACCTCTCAGTTCACTGATCTATGTTTATTTTCTGAGCTCAGTATTTTAATTTGCGTTAATCCTTTCCATAATCATTGCAAATTAAATTTTTAATATTAATAAATCTAATTAGGTTACCTCAAAACAAAGTACATATTTGTAGTCCGATTGTAATGCCAAATAAGCCATGTAAATTTCATTTTATTTGAATCGCAAGTTATATAAAAAAGCTCTTGAAGCAGTGTGTCACACATGGCAGATGTGTCTCAACATTAGCAAATGCACACACCTTTGCTTTACACATTCTTGCTTCCAGCCCTTAAACTCGTTAACATTCAATGGCACTACCATTCTGACTGCTACACAGTAAAAATATCTAGGCGTTCGTTTAACCACTAATATATCCAGGAATGTTCATGTCGACGAGACAATATCATCCTCAAACCGCTCACTCGGTTTTGTTTGTCGCAATTTCAACTCTGCCTTTTCTATCCTTAAACGTCTCCTTTACGCCATGCTTGTTCGCCCTAAACTAGAGTATGCTTCAGCTATCTGGCACCCACATCAGTCTTTTTTTAACTAACGCAAATCGAATCTGTCCAGAATCGTGCTGCTCGATTTATTTTTTCTAATTAGTCTCGCTTTTCTTGTGTCACTGCAATGAAATGTCAATTAGCTCTTCCTGATCTTTCCGTTCGTCGCAGAATTTCCCGTCTTTGCCTTTCCATAAAATGTACTATTCGGAACCATTACGACAGTCTCTCCTCAGCCAGCCCAGCTATATCTCTGCAAGACTCGATCATTCGTGCAAGATTACCCTTCCCAAGACCATTTCAACATTCCCTTCTACCAGAAGCTATTGTAGACTGGAATGGCCTTCCAGATGATATTGTCACCATCACCGATAACGCTAAAATCAGAACTGTACTAACCATGCACTCCCCTCTGTAATGCCCTTCGGGGCCTTGAGGGTAATTCTAAGTAACTAAAGAAACAAATAAATAATATTCCGCCACCAGCGTGTGTTCGTGTAATTATAGGAAACTGGCCTCGTTACTGAAGGACTTGTCACGCGGCAACTCTGTCGTCAGTGTAACTAAAATGCATCATTCGCAAGCGCAGGCAAGGACGCCACCAAGGCAGCTCCAAAGGGGAAAGAGAACAGAGTAAGGGTGGATTTACTCGCCCCACATACGCCTTTGATCAGACTTCTCGACTTCTTTCGTTAACACAGCCATTCTCTTTTCTTCTGTGCTTTAGGAGCACCTAAAATGCCAGTAACTCGTTGTCTACGAGTAATCTAATAAGGTGAATGGTGAAAACTGCTCTGCAACATGACTGCACAGAGCTTACCAAGGTGAAAAGTTGTTTGGCAAAAGTTTCCTATTGTATTGCTTGCAACGCGTCTGAAAACCTCTGGCGTGCTTTTCACTTTACTAATGTGTTGCGTAACAGTTTGCATTTTGTGCATAATGCGCTCCCCTTTTCCTGCAGGCTGTAGAGGGACAAGCAGCAGCAAGTGCGCACCAGTCGTCCGCACTGACTTCGCTAGTGCTTCAGCTCGTCGGTGTGCAGAATCTCCATCCGCCAGCCGAATAAGGTGGGTCTCTAGGCTCCATTTCATTTTTGGCACGGGTTACACCACCGTTACTTGAACATCTCAGTTGAAAAACTGCCATAGGTGTCCGCTTTGCAGAATTGTTAAAAGCGAGCAGTCGCAGTCCCGCTGTTCTTGCTGCAGCGGCCATTTTGTAAACTGTGGCTAGACCAAACAACATCTGTGCCTCGATGGGCTTCTCAAGCGTGGCACTGCTCCCCATTGTAGCTCGCTGTGGCTCGCGTGTGGTGTCCGCATTTGAAGACCAACTTTCCTTAACTGGTATGTCGTAGTAATCTTAGATTACGCCACAAGCGAACTTGACATGCAGAAAGAAGGAATTTTTATCAATGTAGACTGCTTTGTAACATCTTCCAACTATTCATATTTGTTTATTCAAAGTGTTCAATAATGGCCGAAGTGTCTCACTTGGTGCACTTGTTAGTAACAGGAATACAAAGGATTTCCAGCAAGGAAGCCTAAGGAAGCTCGAGCACTTCTTAAAGGACACATGCAAAGGACTAATAAAGTTTTTTTAAACAGCCTGGTTGGGAAAAGGAAGTCATAAAAGGAATTCACAAGGAAAATAAAAATTTTAAGAGCTATATTCACGGCGCTATACGAATTTGTAGTTGGCGCCGGCGGGCGCTGCGGAAAAGTGGCTGCTAGTTGTCACGTGACTGGTCGCTATTTGTCACGTGGTGCTTCCGCTCTATCGGAAGCTTCCTATGGTCTCTAAAAGTTAGTTATTCATCTTTATTTCAAGTGCAACAAAACACAAAGATTAATCGGTAACTTTTCGAACCCAAAGAAAGCTCCTGAAAAAGCGGAAGCAGACGTGATAGACCTGTGTGCCGGTCAGATGACGGCGGCAGCGCTGCGGGGTAGACAAACTTGCGCGGCGGTGGCGGTGTGGAGAAATGAGTTGACGGCGGCGCACCACGCTCAGCGTGCAGCGGCGGCGTGACTGTGAGTCGACTTTGAGACGGCGCACAGGTCTATCACATGACTTGCGGCGGCTCCCACGGGCGCAACTACAAAATCATTTTGTGCCGTCAATATAGCTCTAAAATTTTTTTTTCTTCGTTCTAATTTTATTTTATAACATTCTTTTTCCATCTGGTCTGTTTACAAAAAAAATGTTTTTTTACTTCGCATGTGTCGTCAAACTTTTAGTACTTTATCGTTAGAAGTTGGAACCGCGTTCCCGCAAGATAAATCGTGATTTGATAGAACTGAAACGTGATCCGATCCGAAACCTTGCCGGCCAGCAGCTTTCACGCGATCGGTAGATCTGTTTGGTGTACTTTAACCTTGCACCTGCTTGTCACTTCGAATACGATAACTTCGTTAATCGTAGTCTGCTGCTTCGATATTCAGTTGCACAATAGGATAAACTCGAAATTTGGTGCCCTGTTCCTCCGCGCAACTCCGCGTCCGTTGCTTACGCACGTCACGTGGTTCGCACATATAAGTACTATGTCGAGCACGTGTGGGTTGTGTGATAAGCAGAGCTGGTTTGCATTTTGAGCAGCTGAAAGCCACTAAGAAAATAATCAGACTTGTACCCGTCACTGAAAAAGTAACCGATGACAGTTACAATCACTTTGCTGTATAAAGTACCCGACTACAATTACAATTACAGCCTCAAAGAAGTAATCGAAAAATTACTCTAAAGTAAGCAATTACTTCCCACGTTACTTTTCATTCAAACTTTTTTTATGATAGCATAATCCGTGGAATGTCGCGCTCAGTTGTTAAAGAAAAAAAAAAAGAAAGCCGCGACTGTTTTTGCTTAAAGCGCGAAACACACGTACAACCAAACCGTCCGATCCGACGTCTGACCGCGCAATACGACGGTCGGAGGCAAGGGTTTTCAACGCTCTCCGATGCTGCGGAACCCCCTCGCCCCCCAAGGTCATTCCGGCAGTCCGCACGTCGGATCGGACGGTTTGGTTGTACGTGTGTTTCGCGCTTAAAGCTGAGTTAGTGATGGCACACACCTAATCCCTCACAAGAGGCTAGATAAAGTCATTTTTCATACCCATAAGTAGTCTCCGGTGTAGAAATAAAAATGTACCCACGAAAAAGAAGCATAGTAAAGTGGCCTACTAATCCTCACAGCCTCGTGCTTAATAATTTCGAAAAAAAAAAAGCCCGTTGCCCGGAGCTGAATAACTCCAACTCTCCTTATCGCAACTTTAGATGGGATGCTCACTATTGCAGTGTTTTGGCTCTGGTTGATCTGCAGGCACCTGTTGGCTTGTTGCCCCATTGTGCTGGTGCCCTGAAGCTGGGCTAGAGCAGAGAGGACGCTTGGAGCCGGCCTACGTTGAGTCCGTTGCATGGTCGCAAAATTCGCTTAAACTCTTCCAGGGGAAAGGGTGTGGGCGTGGGAGCAGGTCTGCGGGTCGTAGCTCTTCTCAGCTGCCTCGGCGACGAAAGCGAAGGTGGCAGCGTGACTTGCTTTTGAGTTAGGTTTAGCTGTTGCCGAGCTCGTCGACGCTGTGCCTTCAAGACTACGTTGATCCAGAGTTGCCTTGTTTTTTTCGTTCCCGACGATGGGTAATCCTGGTTATCTGCTGCACTTGCATCTTTTCGGTAGATGAAATTATTTTTATTTATATCCAAGCTGATTTCCGAGGCATACGTGACAGCCGTGCAGCCCGCATCGGTTCCACCGGGCGGGGCCTGATTCATCGCCGTATTATTAGCTAGGCCTACAACGCTAACAGAAGGCTTAGCCTTCCCGCTCGGGAAAGTCTTCCTAATTTCACCACAATTGCACTCACCGGCGAAAAACTGGTGTCTTCATGTGCCTTTTGCTTAATAGAATATGGTGGTAATCACTAATTTGTGCAGAATATGATTTTTCTGAACTTTTGGGTGTGCAACACAGAGCTCATCAGAAACACACTTTGCCTCTACGGCGGCCGTCGGTGTTCCCCCCCCTGTAACGGGATGAATTGATTCATTCGTTCTTGAACGATGCGAGCGAAATCGTGAACCTTTTGGGCAACGTCGGGAGCACGGAGTGATTGAGGACCAGTCGTAATTGGAGAAATGATTGTACAAACTAACGTAATCTCCAGCGGAAAGATTGTGTCTATTCACTTCAGGATGTCTCCGTGAATAACATCTCATGCCATGTCAGATAGGTATACTGATCTCCTGTGGGGCATGATGTCCGTCCGGGGGGGGGGGGGGGGGAGGGAGGGAGGGAGGAAGGAGGGAGGGAGGAGGAGGAGGAGGAGGAGGAGGAGGAGGAGGAGGAGGAGGAGGGGGAGGGGAGGAAAGGGAGGGAGGGAGGGAGGGGGGGGGGAGAGAGAGAGGAGAGGAGCAAGGAAACCAAGCTTGACATACCCTCTGTTATATCTGTACAGTCTAGATTTGCGAAACATAGATCAAGCATGTTGCCCTGGGTGTTTGAGATACAGTTGTATTGTTTTAAATTTGTAAATGATGAAAAATTCAGCAAGAAATTAGATTTCTGAATAATATAGTAACTTCTAGAGGACACTGAGGCTGCTTTCCAGCATATGTTACAGACATTAAAATCTCCAAGAACTATAAATTTGAATTTATTCAGGGCCTTGGTTGTACACTCAATGCCCAGTAGACATTGGCGAAAACCATCTGGAGACGTGTCAGAGGGCAAGTAATAAGCGCCCAGGAGGATATGCTCGCCATTCGCACATGGCAGCTCTATCCACACTGACTCAAACAATGTCTCAAGATCCGGACGCCTAACACGTTGTAAGGACGCATCAATTTCTCTCAGCACTCCACCCAACGTCTTTTTCCTAGTAGAGAATACACGATCACGTCTAAGTACTGCAAAATTAGGTGGGAAGACATTGGATAAATAAATGTTAGAACAAGGCCAGGTCTCGTTTAGCGCAATAATAGACACATCAGTTAGGGTTACATTAGAAAAAAAGTTAGCTTTTGTGGGAAGACCTTGGACATTCTGATAGTAAATGTCTAGGTTACGTATCTGTTCCGGCATTAAGGAAGAGAGGCGCTTCGAATACCGCTTGCTATGTGTGGCTCTCATTCAGCTGACCTGTCAACTCGTTGAAAATGCTTCCCTCTGGCCAGAGAAGGGGATCAAAAAGTTTCTCTATTTCTTCATTTGCAGCCATCACTCGTAAGGACGAGTAGCTTTCATGCCGTGTCTTCAGTCGGGTGCACGCAAGCTCGCGAAGAGGGCCCTGCTTCCTAATGTGGGTTTAAAGGCTCGGAGGATCGCAAGATGGGCCGAAATGCGTCATGTGCACAGCGTGTTGGCGACGTGGTGGAGAGGGTGGCAGTGCCACAGGTGTACAGCTGGCTGACACACTTGCCCTCAACAACGGCCGTCTTGCCCTGGGGACCTTTGGCCCCTCCTTGCGGAACCCAGCCCCATTGAAGTTTGATGGAGCTTGATGGCATGGATGCCCTGACGGTTGGACAGGGTCACCAAAGGAAGGGGATGGTGGCGGCTCATCGCCGCAGTTTAGGAAAAAGGGAGCTGTTTCCTGCCGGCCGGTTCCATTGGTTCCGAGTGTTACGCACAGCTCCGAGCTCAGTCCGCTAAGACAGTATGGCACTTGCGTGCAGCTGGGAGGTATACCTATACCCTTGGCAGAGCTGCGCGTTCTCGTCATGAAAGAGCAGCGACCTCGTGTGTGAGGAACGAGATCCCCTCGAGGGAGTTGAGGAGGAGGGCTTGTAAGGATTTCATGTCTGCATGAGGACCGCCTGGGGAAGAGGAAGGTTTCTCCGAACGAGTGGAAGCAGTGGGGGAGGGCGGTGCGGAGTGGTGGCTGAACGACGCTTCCGTCAAATCCGGCCTGGCTTCTGCTGTTAGGACTAGCAGCCCCGCTGATGTTTTGCAACTCTTGCAGATTAAGGAGCTTACCCCAGATTGCAGAAAGGTGGTCTTATTTTCCGTCCAGCAGGTATACTTGTTGTGGGCACATAGCTGGCACCCTGAACAGTGTAGAAACAGCAG